CTTTGTCTTTTTGTTATAACTTAAAGAAGAGTATAAAGCTGAAATTGAGCCTGTCTTTTATTATTTAAAAGTCATAAACACATTTGTACAGTAATGAATGCAGAATTCAAATTCTAAAGTTAAAATCTTCCTCATTCAGACAATGTAGGAATATTGTGACCTTAATTCATCAGTAACACAAATATTATTAACATAAACTGACTGGCAATGTTATATAGTGAATTTCGGTAATTGATCAGTTGGTTGGAATAATGTTTTGTGTTCTTAGTTAACATTAACATTTATTTTTGTTATAGTTATTATTTTTTTCTGATCCATCCCTTATCATTCATCTATATGAATGATATCGATTTTGATTATTTATATGAAAGTTGATGCAAAGAAGAAAATAATACAGACTGTTTTCAGATTGTATTTATTTATTTGAGATGGAGAGAGAGAGCACAGTGAGGAGAGGGAGAAGCAGACTCCCCACTTAGCAAGGAAACCGGTATAGGGCTCGATCCCAGGACCCTGAAATCATGATCTGAGCCAAAAGCAGACGTTTAACTAACTGAGCCACCCTGGCACTCCTATTTTCAGATTAAAAAGGGAAATAAGAAACATTGACTTTCTCACTTTCATATAATGTGTTTGTGGTTGTTTTTGCTTTTATATATATTAATTACTTATCACAAGAATCTGAAGCCTTAGTTATTTTTATCTCTATGTGTATAAAGCTTTTGATACTCAGAAGGTTAAGTAGTTTGTTCAGGGTAACAATTATGAAATTGGGCTGACAAGGTTACTTCTAAAGTCTTCTCCCATGCATAGTTTGGTCTCCATTGTCATAATTGTTTAATACCTTGATATTTCAACATATCTTAAGATATTATGGTGTAACAACCTTCTCATTCTCCAGCTCTAATTTTCTTTATCTTTTACGTAAGGTTTTAGAACAGGTGACTTAAGAACCCAAGAGTCCCAAAGATTGTGTAATGGGCAGCATGATACAACTTTTAGTTTAAAATTTAAATCCCCTCTAGAAGGTGGGAATAATTTAAGAGAATTTATTTATAGAGCTCATTAATTGTGTGTCCACTCTATAGTAGACAATTTTGTAGGACCTGTGGATGCATTGGTGATCAGAAGAGATAAAACAACTTGTTCTCTTCGAATGTACTTCCTAGTGGGGGACGCAGACAATCAACAAGCAATATTAACAAAATATATAGTGTAGATAAGTGCTGATGAGATAAATAATGCAGGAAAAATAATAGAGAAAAAAAATCAGTAAAAGGTGTTTGCAATTTTAAATGTGGTGACTCAGAAAAACCCTCTATGAGAAGGTGACATTTGAATGAAGAACTGAAGAAGGGTAGCAAGTAAACCATGCAGCTATCTTTTGGAAGAGCATTCCAGGCCACAGGAGCATCAAAGGCAAAGCCTCAGAAACTGGAATGTCTTTGACATACTCAGAGAATGGAGCATAATCCAACGTGGTGAATGAACTGAATGAAGCGGAGAGTAGGAAATGAAGTCACAGAGATGCAGATGTGGTAGTGCCTTATAGACCCTTGAAAGACTGGTTTTTACTTTGATTGAAATGGAAAACAAACAAAAGAAATGGAAAACATTGGGTGCCTTTCATCAATGAGTCATATTATCTGAATTGTATTTAAAAATAATTTCTCTGTCCTATTGAGGATAGAGGAAAGGGGGATGAGGGCCAAAGTGAGAAGATCGGTTAGGAGGCTATTAAAAAATGGGTGGCTCCAACCAATTTGGTGTAGTGGAGGTAATGAACAGCTGCCAGATTTAGAAGGTGGATTTCCTGATGGATTAAGAGTGGTAGGTGAAAGAGAGGAATCAATAGGACTCTTAAGTTTTTGAGAAGAATAATTCAAAGAATGAAGTTATCATTCACTAAAATGGGAAATGGAGGGAAGAGAAGTTTTTTTTTTGTTTGTTTGTTTGTTTTTTGGATGGCTGAGGGAGAAACAGGATATGATGAGGGGCTCAGTTTTGAACATTTAATATTTAATACCTTTTTAAGCATCCAGTGGAGATTAAATGGATGCTAGCGCTATACTGACATAACAAATTCAGTTCTAAGGCATTTTGGTTTAAGCAGAGTAGGATTATTACTATCATTCAAAAACAAATATTTATTAAGCATTTTTCATGTGTCAAGCCTGTACTAGGTGCTAGAATATAGCATGAATAAGATATAAAATTAATAAGGTGCATAATTGTATATACTACATATTAGAGGTGTTTGAATGATACAGTGCTCACAAGTGTGGAACTTGGGAATAAGAATACTTGTGATCCATTATCACATTGTTATAAGCATACCTAAGAGTTTTACCCAACTGGCCATCCTCTTGAAGGTTTTTGTGTTTGTTTGTTTGTTTGTTTGTTTGTTTGTTTGTTTGTTTTTCATGGCTTGGCCTCCTGGACGTTCTGTTGTGGCGCACTACTATTTTTTTATTATTATTATTTTTTTTTTATATGGCGCACTACTATTAAGAGGGCTATTCTCACAGCCCTCTTTGGCATTTAATATCCATTGTTCTTTTCCTTTCATCTGATTTCTAAAATTCACGTGGTGAGTTGTATTTGAAGGGTGCTGCTAACCACAATATAGTATCTACAAGGTGGCTGGTGTTGATGTTTTCTGAGCTAGACACTAATACCTGAAAGGTGAATTAATCATTAGACTCTTTTGTTCTGTCTTTGGGTATAATGTACTTTTTGTACTGATGTTTTGACATCTGGTATTCTTCTCTCAAAAACTCTGCATGGGGTTTTTGAAGGACTTATGAAGGCACTGAGGAAAGTAAATACATCTCTCAATAATGTAACTACCCAGACAAAGGCAGGAGTTTTTTGGTTTCTTCTTTTCTTTCCTTTCTTTTCCTTTTTTTTTTTTTTTTTTTTTTTTTTTTTGTTAGTGTTTTAGGTCTTTAGGATACATTTGAGAATGTATTATACCTGCCATTTTTCCCATTATAGAAGACTGCTGTGCTGAACATTGGTGCTTGATACTCAATCACAGCATCTTTCCTTTGAGTCAAAGAAGAGAGCAAATAGCCCTCTGTTCAGGGAACCAGGTAGCACTAACCACTCTCCACTCTCAAACAGTAGAAGTAATTTAAGCTATCTGAGACCCAACACTACTTTAGTAGTGTCCCCTGGAGAACAAAGCAGTTAGAGCAAAATTTCTTGTAGTTTTCTTTCATGGTTTGAGCTCCTTCCGAGAAATACATCTAGGGTTATGCAGGAATATTTCAGAACTGTTTCATTGACAGTATTATAGCAGAGTTCTTTATCAAATAACTGTGAAGTCTTATCTGGTGACCTGAGGAGAGCTATGATTTTGGTTACAGCATAGTGCCTGATTTGTAAGAATTTCCATAGTCAGAATAATCTTTGTATCAAGTTTGTATAAAACAGAAAATTATGAAGTTTGAATAGAAACAAATAACACTAGAAAAACTGGATATTTGTGTATTTTTCAAGTCAGCTTATCAGGGGAAGGCAACTAAATGTAGTGACTTGTATCCTAAAATAAAAATCAATATGCATGACCTACACAGTTGAAAAATATGTCAGTAAGGAATACATCTCTTTGTTTTCAACTAAAAAATTTTCCTATGCTTCTTTTAAATTTTTTACTACTTATGCATATATCCATAACAATGTCATAGTTTTTTTGTCTAATGAAATTTTGTATAAATGGCATTACACTGTTATAGATCCTTTTGCCACTTGCATTTTTAAAAGATCTAATATTAAATTTTTCATGAGTATCCATGTGCGTGACTATAAACTTAGAACACTGATTTTCTATTACTCTTCAGAATATCGTTTTTATAAGTCAACCATCACTTATTTGTTCCCCTACTTATGGAAATTAGGTCTTCAGGCCTTTCAAGAAACCTACAAACAAAAGAGGCATCAATAGTCATAGACAATTTCTCAACTCTGCTCCAACATTTTGGCACACTGATATGTTGGGCCACTATTAATTCTAATGTTCCACAGAAGTGTTTTTAGGTGGAGGCAAAATATAGGAAAGGAATAGAGTTTGGAATCTTAGAACGAGGAGAGAAATGAGATAGTACATAGAATAAGGAACATGAAAGGCATGGAACTAACAGGAACAGCCCCCCCCTCCCCCCCAATGCAGTTTTAGTACAGAGGCTTTTATAAGCTTTTTCTTTTTCTTAGCTCTGTTTTATGCTGCTATTGGGTTTGGTAATACTGAATGCTTATTTTCCATCTGTGTATAACAGGCTCTATTCATGCAAAACCCTTCAAGGATCAAACTTCCTGATCTCCTTAAGCCATTCAATATGAATATAAATCCAGTGAATATCCTCATTCTTTTAGATCTTTCACTAAATAAATGGTCCACATATGTGGCTGTTCATCAGCATTAACTGGGAATCTTTATAAAAATGCATACTTTTATGAACTCAACCTGGGAAATTCTGATAAAGAACTTATAGGACAGAGGAAATGTTTTTTTTTTTTTTTAATTAAAAATCCCTTGGTGATTTAAAAAGCATTTCAATTGAGATACCACTTCCCTAAGTGTTTGGCTTAATTTTTTAAATAGAGTATTCCCTAGTGGGAGTTGTAAAAAAAAAAAAAAAAAATAGCCTAAAAAAAGTGATATGAGTTGGAAAAAATAAAGCTTTTCCCTGAAATCGTAGGCCAGAATTAAGTTGATTTGCTTTAACTGTTTGTATCCTGAATATACCTACAGCCAAAGAAAGGTGCAAACCCTATTGACATTCCTGAATATCAAACTGATTTACACTTCCAGGAGAATATTAAATGCTCTACTTGCGTACTAGAAGACCCAAATAATTAAGTTATCTTGTTCACTGTGTGTGCACAGGGTATGTAGTTACATTATAAAAACCATGCTTCATGAATTCAGGCCCTGATCTGACTTTATAATTTGTTATGCATAATTGCAACTTATGGCTTTTCTGTTGTATTTCCAGCACAGTGATGCGGTCCATGACCTTCTTCTGGATGTGATCACATGGGTTGGAATTTTGCTGTCCCTTGTTTGTCTCCTGATTTGCATCTTCACATTTTGCTTTTTCCGCGGGCTCCAGAGTGACCGTAACACCATCCACAAGAACCTCTGCATCAGCCTTTTTGTAGCTGAACTGCTCTTCCTGATTGGGATCAACCGAACTGACCAACCGGTAAGCAACTTACACTGATATTAGCAAAAACTTCTCCATTTCCAGGTTTCCAGTACTCGAAATGTTCTTGTTGAAAGTATCCTCTCTTCCAGTTGCCTAAGATAGTTATTAAGTTTCATATATGATGTATGACTGAAGTTTTCTTGAGACATTCTGTTCATAACCTTGCCTTTCAAAAGAACAGTGTCTCCTTATTAATTTGCATGTGTGCTTGTTTTTGTTTTGTTTTGATCAGAGCAGAATATGGAGGAAAGTTAAGTAAAAGCATATGGGGAAATGGAAGAGTATCTTTCCCAAAAGATAAAAGTGTTATTTTCAAAGTTTATCACATACTTTTTTTAAAGTTTATTATTATTTTTTTATTAATCTCTGTACCCAGAGTGGGGCTCAAACCCATTACCCCAAGATCAAGAGTTGTGTGTTTTTCCAACTGAGTCAAGCCAGCCACCTCTATTGTATACTTCTTTAAAAAATGGTTTATATCATATGAAAAACTTCACGTCTGAGCTGAGTTTTTCTAATTGACATATTTGGAAAAGAGTTTAAGCTATAGGTCATTTTTAGAATTTATAAACCCTTCCCAAATTTTGTTTGACACATTGTATTTGCACAAGTTCTGTTTACATCTTTAATGTCCGCTTTGTACTTGACTACAAACTACATTTAGTCATATCAGAAAATAAAAGGAAGGAAGTAGGGAAAGAAAAGGGAGAAGAGGAGCAGCACTAGCCAACTGCTTTTGGTAAAATGAAACAGAAAATATGAATAACAGATAGAATTTTAATTATTCCACAGACTCTATGCCTTTTTTTTTTTTTTTTTTTTTTTTTTTTTTTTTTTTTTTTTTTTTTTTTTTTTTTTTTTTTTTTGTGAGGCCTGTTCTGTTTACTAAGGACTCAGGCACATAGTGCACATTTGGTCTCATGACTAAAACTGCAACTGAAAAGAAAACTTCCATTTTTTAGAAGATGTGTAGGCATAATAAATAATTCATTCACTTAATGCTGTTTTCTGGTATGTGTCCATAAGTATGGAGTACTTTACAATAAAAATGCAGTTGAATTCATGTTTGTGATTACACATTCATGATTAATGGCTGTTAAGGGTACAATTATGGTGATTATACTTTTAATTGGTTATCATATACAAATGTGACAGCTTTTCCTATAAATGCATACATATGAATAAGCAATCAAAGTGCACATTTTTCCCAAAAAGTAAAGCCTTCTGATAACAAAAATTAATAGTTGAAGTTCTAACTCAAAAAAGCAAGAAATGGAAAATTGTGTTAGTTTCCAAGAAGAAATCCTTTCATCCTGTTGTTAACCTGCAATTCAATTGATGTGTAATTTGTTTTCATTTAGAAACTTTCATTCTTACTTTTGTTTCCTGAAAATCATATGGTATGATAAGCTTCACCACATGTTGCATACTGCACAAAACTCACTCCTGAAAAGTAAAATAGAGAAGAAAGATGGACATGAAACATTGGAGTAGAGTGTATCTTACCCCAACCTGCTTTCTTCTTGTTGCTGGATAGGTGCCCTCTTCCTGACTCTTATGTGCTCATGAGGTTCTGCTTCCTCTCTAGTCTGACACTGGACGTCCTCATCTCCCTTCATTGTCATCTCTCTAACTCAGTGAAATTGACCTGCTGCTTGTCTCTTTCCCAAGGATTATACTCATCACTGAACCACAGTAATCTGATAATGTTTATAATTTTGTTGCCCTTTTCTAGTAAGAGATACAGATTTTATTTTTTTTATTTATTTTTTATTTTTTAATAAATTAATTTTTATTGGTGTTCGATTTACCAACATACAGAATAACACCCAGTGCTCATCCCATCAAGAGATACAGATTTTAGTTAGGATTTCTTTCTCTCTCTTTTTTAAGATTTATTTATTTACTTATTTGGGAGAGAGAGAGTGAGAGAAAGTGTGCATGTGGGGGAGTGGAAGGGGCAGACAGAGAGGAAGAGAGAGAATCCCAAGCAGACTCCTCCATGCTGAGAGTGGAACTCCACCAGGCTTGATCCCAAGCCAAGACCACAACTTGTGCCAGACCCACCCACAGTCAGACACCAAGCTGATTGCACTACCCAGGCACCTCTAGGATTTCTTAAGTAAAAAATAAAGACCCCAATTTCCCCAAGGAGTAAGAATTTCAGAACTGAGATTAGAAAATTAATATATGGTCAGATGAAACTTGCAGTGCCTTAGAGAATATGCCAAAATAAGGACTGGCTATCTTTTTTTTTTTTTTTAATTTTTTTTACCAAGCTTGTATAGCCCAACATTTCATACAATAACAGAAAAATGAGAGGAAGAAAGAACTCCAGAACCTTTTGTATTATTTTAACCAGACTTGCTTTTATACTTTGCAGCATGAACTTCCCAGTGCTGACTTAGATCTTTTCTGAAACCAGGCAGGGAAGAAATAACCCAGCCCATAATAATAATGAAGAAATGATCCCGTCACAGACTACTGTAATTATTATATATTTTTTTGACTTTCAGAGCTTTTATTCTCCTTGGTTTTAATGCTTCTCTTTCATTTACAATTGAAGAACTTAATGTGTTAGAACACACATGTTTATGGCCAAGAAAAATAATGCATGCGATGTTATTTTTAAAACTGCAGGCTAATCTCAGTAATAATTATCAATAAATAAGCTCTTATTAGAAGTTTTTCATAAATTATTTAATAATGTTTCCTTATTATCATTCTATGCTGTCATCTGTAAGCCCTTCTTAAATAAAATGTTGAAGATGGTTTTTAATGAGGTTTTATTATTTTTTAAAAGATTTTATTTATTTACTCATGAGAGATACAGAAAGAGAGGCAGAGACACAGGCAGAGGGAGAAACAGGCTCCCCGGCAAGGAGCCTAATGTGGGACTCGATCCCAGGTCCTGGGAGATGCTCAACCGCTGAGCCACTCAGCCACCCCTATTTAATGAGGCTTTAAAATCTGAATTTTAGGAATCTCATCTAGATTACTTTTTTGCAGACCTGTTGTGTTACCACAGTCTTGATAACTGTTAATTTTGATTTCATGGCACTTCGTGATATTTCGGTTGGTTGTTACTGGAGTCCTTTGTTGCCTTCCCCAGATTGCCTGTGCCGTTTTCGCTGCGCTCTTACATTTCTTCTTCTTGGCCGCCTTCACCTGGATGTTCCTGGAGGGGGTGCAGCTCTACATCATGCTGGTGGAGGTTTTTGAGAGTGAGCATTCACGAAGGAAATACTTCTACCTGGTGGGCTACGGGATGCCCGCGCTCATCGTGGCTGTGTCAGCTGCCGTAGACTACAGGAGTTACGGAACAGATAAAGTGTGAGTTTATGTTTTCTTGCCTTTTTTTTCTCTCTTTTGGAATCTAGTTGAAATAAATGCTTTGGCTTTGCTTGGAAGCTAAGGTCTTTCTATTATCTCACAGCAAAAAATGATTGAACTGGAGAAACAAATGGGGATAATTCGATTCACGGGGATACTTTTGTTGTGATATAAAAAAGAGAAAAAAGTCTGAGTCGGTAGGATGCTGTTTAAAACAGCTTAATTTTCCCACAGCTACATCAGAGCCTTGAGTAATTATAAGAAGATGATCGTTTTAATATCTTTCAGAGCATTGAGGCATTTGTCAAATGAAGAACTAGCTATGTCAGAAAGTGTGTATTCAGAGGACAGTGTAGTCTCTGATATTAATGGCTTCTCTTCTTCCTGACCTGTCAGTTCTAGTCACTAGAAAGAAATTCATATCATTAACAGAAAGAGAGACAATAGGAGCAGGGGCAGCTTATTATTCTCCCCCACCCCCCACCCCCCCGTTTTTCTAGGTGAGTGTCGTGTTATAGTGATGAATTTTATTTTCAGTATACATTCAAATTGGTGAGACATACATGTAGAGATGTCCAGAAAGGAAAGGAATTCAGTGCAAAATATTTTTGTAATCCACATAAATATAACAGTTGGCATTCTGAGAATGAATGAAAGTTTCAATAGAAAAAAAGATTCAAAAGAAGACTAAGATAGATCTGCGATGAATACCCACATTTAGGACATAGTTTGAGGCAGGACAATAAAAAATAAAGACAAGAGTTAACTGGAGCCTTAAAAGAATGAGAAGCCTGTTTCAAGATGGTGTTTCAGAACACCATCGGCAGTGTTCTATATCAAAGATAATTCAAGTAGGATCAGCATGGAGGAAAAATTATTTGTCCTTTGCAACAATTATTTTGGCAGTGCTGGAAGCGGAAGCCAAATTGGAAGGTTCGAAGAGATAAGTCAATAGCAAGAAAGTAGAGTCTTAAAGTATTATCTACACTGTGAAAAAATTTGATAGAGAAATAGTGAAGAGATTAACTTGTAGTAACAGAAATGAAGAAGAATTTTTAAAAATGAATTCCAAAGAATGTCTAGAGTGGGTAGAATCGATTTGATGGGAGGAGATTAATAGAGGGGAAAATATCTTAATACCTCTTTGTATTTAATATATAGATAGGCTGAATGAAAGGGAAATGTCCTACGGGGATAGAAAGGCATAAGATTATCCTTACAATTAAGAAAATCTTGATTTAATAATGGAAGTGGCTTTGGAATTCACCTACTCCACGACATTAATTTTAAAGATTAAAAAAATCAAGGACCAGATAAATTAATTGACTTGCCCATGGTTATAGAGCTAGATAGTAGCACATGTGTGATAAAATAAGTCAGATTTATTTCCACTAAACTAGTATTTTTTTTGGAAAAGTAGAATGACCCCTCTCTTCTGAGATGAGTGTGAAGGAAAGAACAGATAAGATGAATTTTGAAAGTGGAAGAACTTTTCCATCAAGTAGAAGAAGCTGACTTTTGCTGAGTGAATAGGTGAGGTCATGTTGAGAGGATAGGAGATTTGAAAAGCTTTGAAATGAGCACTATGGAAAATGTGTTAAGGAGCCAATTAGACATTAATAAAAAGATTTCCGAGCAGTGGTGAAGGCTCAGATGAGGTTAGATAACATCAATTTGTACAGAAGTTAATAAGCCAAATTTCATGACTTTCCACCAGCAATCAGCAGCCTGAATATGCTGGCAATAAAGCAGCTCACTTCCCAGAAGAGAGGATTCATAAGGAGGGAAGACAAGCAGAAGCATTATTGGGAACATAGTTAAAGTGGAATATGTATGGGTTCAGAGGCATGAATAATACGATAGAAAGAAGAGCATCTCACCTTTGCTGAATTTTTTTCTTGAGTATAGGGAAGGCTATATAAAAAGCCATTTGTCTAAATTTAACAAATAGTAATTATTTTTTAATCTGACTTTTATGAATTGTGCTCAAATCTAGTTCATTTTGTGAATACCAGTGACAACTGTGAAGCAATTTAGAATTAGATAAAAATATGAAAAATGTTTGCTTCTAAAGACCTCTTAGGGGAGGGGAAATTAGGTAGATCAGAAGTGGGTTTTTTTTTAATAATACTTTTACTGATATAATTTACATACTATAAAATTCACCTCAGTAGAGTGTATTTAGAGTGTACACCTCAGTAGTTATTAGTACATTCACAGTGTTATGCACCCATAACCACCATTTAATTTTAAAACATTTTGATCACCTTAAAAAGAAACCCAAAGTAATCATCACTCCCCTTAGGTCATAGGATTTTTACATTTTAATTAATGCATATCCCATCTAAGATACTAAATTAAGCGATACAGTTATTTGTGACCTTATACTATTTAAATATTTTCCTTCAGTAATTCCATTTTGCTGTCTTACAGTTCCTGATTTGCTTTGATTTTATGTTTTTTTCTTTTTAGATATTTGCAAATTTTCTTGTTACTAAACTGACTGAAACTAGTTTATTTTGTGTTTTAGTCATTTATTTTGAGACAGATGTCATTTTCTGGATAGTAGGAATCTATCTTTCCTTAGAATCAATAATATGTAAGTCTCTTGTGACTGTTCAAGCTTTGGCCATCATTGCTTTAATTTCCTGTACCATAACTGGAAGCTCTCATTTACTAACATTATTACTGTGTGGGAATACACGCTAATTTACTTCCCAGGCACTGATTTAAAATAAGCCTTCATAATAGTTCGGTTCCACAATTATGATTTTTCCCAACACAAAGAGCAGGAAAGCAGATATAGAGAAAAGGGAGGATAGATAAAAGAGGAGAGAAAAGAATAAGGAAAATTGCTTTAAATTCCATCACAGGCAGGCAAAGACTGTTTAGTGTCTCATTTGTACATTTTAAATGAATCGTCCACTGAGAGACCTTCAGAATACTTGGAAAAAATGTTCAACTTCTACCGATTGGGAATGCATCCAATCCAGTGTCTATTTTGCCCATAGAAGAAGCGGGTGTTAAAAAAGAAACATTATTCAGGCATTTGTATTTACTTGAAAAATCGAAATGAACAGATCATGTTTTCCATTAGGAGTTTAATCGAGATACCTTCTCAAAGAAAAATATAAACAATGAATTTTTACACAACTTGAAGGATTTCTGCATATAGAATTATATATCTTGTTCCTTATTATCAAATCTGTCTTTGTTGTTTTACACTCTATTACTATAGTCTATTGCTTTTATTTGACTTTAGATGGCATTTCTGATCCCTGTTCATCTCATGACTCTTTTTCTGATGTAAATCTACTAACCCAAATTGTGCTGTTGTTTTATGCCTGTTTGTTTGCTAGTTTTACCCTCTTATAAGCTACATTGAGTTTTTAATACAAATATATAAAGTACACAGTCTTAAATAAATTGGAATTAGTCAGAATTCAGACATGTATTTTCAGCCCTTTTCTGTAAATTCTCAATACAATGAATATTTATGTCTTAGAAATCTACTTCACTTATTTTTGGAACTTTGTTATTATTAAATTTTTACTTCAGTTTCAGCAACTTTAGAGTACATCCAGAATAAAACCATTGGATATGTATTATAGTAATCCAAATAATAATGAACATTCTTCCTTTTTCTCTCCTCTTAATGTATTTAATTATATTTTATTATGCTGACAATGAGGTTTTATCACTGAAACCTTTAATAGTAGTAATAATAGCTTACATTTCTAAAAACTACAGAATCATGTCAATGGAAAGAGATAAAATTAGAAATAAAATTAGTTTTGTAGGTTAAATAAATGTTACTTTGATACAGATAGTGGTAACTATCATATTCCATCTGGCTGATGGAATATGATGTGTTTTTCTATGAAATGTTAGGGTTGTTGAACTGATTATTATGTACAAAACACATACACACAAAGCACACATAATTTGATTTTGAGAAGTTGCTTAGTTTGCAATGCTTGCAAGAGAATTTTATTATTATTTTCTGATGTTGTTTAATCAAATCTTTTTATCTGTACTCACATTATGCTCAAGAATGTACTTAGAATTACATTTAGTCACAATAATTGGACATTTAAAAAATTAGATTAGAAGACCAGGATAATCATTTAAAAGAAAAAAGGAAAAACCTCTCAGCTAGTGGACCACAGTTCTAAATTGCACTGTTAACAATGGGCATTTATTCAGTTTTATCTCTGTTTTTGTATCTTCCCTTAGTATCTCTTATACTTTTATTCATATGCACATTCAGTGAAGCTATCCAATAAATGATACTGTCAGAAGATAAAAGCTGACATTGACTTAACAATAATTTAAACATGGCTGATTTACAAATTCTGTGCTAGATACTTTTATTTTATGACCTGAAACTAATTAGTTCACGTAAACTTTAATTACCTTAATATTACCAAAAATACAAACCACTTTAACAGTTAATTTTTATTTAAAGAGCAAATCACATTTTAGTTTATACCACTTGCCTCACAATCAAAGTATACAATGGAAAAAGGAGTGGCTAACAGGATGGGTAAATTGGAAAAGGATTAGGAGTAGGTTCCAGGAGGAAGGAAGGCTCTGGAAAGAAATGAAGTCCAGGGAACAGCCCAAGACTTAAAAATACGGGCTCAAAAATTAGTAAGGGGTTTCCAAAAGATGTCAATTAGGTCATAAACATTTATAATGAATCAGAACATCCTTGAGTACTAGAAGCATAACCAAGGTCTTAAAAATAATTGAAATCAAATTCTATGGTCTGAAAATTATTATAAATCATCTATTAAGTCTTGTATTTGTCTCTCCAGCTCACTAGTTTAAGGAGAACTCTAAAAGAGGTAGTGTCTTCTCTGCTAGTTAAAAGCATCCCTGCCCTCAGTTTCTTTGTTTTCACTTCATTATTTAACCAGGATAATCATTTGGATAGAAAAGTGATTATTGATTTTTTTAATACCAGATTATAGTATTATTCAAGAAGGAACCTAGCC